TATGAGCGGCACCCGAAGCGAGAGGGTTAGAGATTGATGGATATAAGTTCACATATACATATGTATATATATACACAAGTGTGTATATCTCCTGTAATTTATTATTTTTATTATATGTAGTATCTACTTTTTCTACAAAGTATTCTACGTAATTTATTAATTGAAATATAAGATTCGTAGAAAGATGTGTGAACGATAACGAGGAAATCGTGTACAATATAGTTAAAGACTTACACATAACCTCTGTATCTCTAATAATAATTGAAATATATTCAGCGGTTTTTAACATGTATACAGGGCTACAGAAATCCTTACCAAACTATTCTACAAGTATTCTAAAAACTGTTATAAGAAAATGTGCGAGTATCGCGCTGGATAATGCGGAAAATGTAATATATCCTCCTATTTTGGATTTATCCTATCATAGTAGGCTTAAGAGGAAACATGAAAAGTGGCATAATAAAATTAAAAAATTAGAAACTGTGGAGGAAAAATTAATTGGTGTGAATATGCCACATTATTATGGTTGGAAATCATTATGTTTAGAAGAAGGAAAAATTCCATACAATTCATTGAAACATGCTCAATACATTACACGTACTCATGTTACAAATTCTAATAAATTACCGGACTTTTACGATTCAATTATCACAACTGAAAAATTAGATGCTCTGGTACAAACTATTACAAAACATATAGAAAATGTTATTATTTTTGAATATAATCATAGATTGTGAGTATAATTGCCTCGTGTTAGAAGTATAAAAATAATAATAATAATTTTCCCTTAAGCGATAAAAGTATTAATAAATTTACATTTACAGAAATAATTTCTAGAATTAATATCATAAAAATATATTACAGAAAGAAGCAAGAAATAACAGAGGAAATAGAAAATATTAAAGAGAAATTGCTAAACGATGCTGTTACAAATGCACTTGTTTTTCAAATCAATCGAATAATGCTGTCCGCTTTATCTTCGACGACACCACATTTATTGGAAGCTGAAGTAGATTTTAAACCAAGAATAGAAGCATTTTGGCTTGCAGGTGACATACAACGGCCGACTCTACAGAGAAAAGCAAGAGAGGGAATAGAACGTTTGAAAGAATATGCAAATGATCCAATAAATATGCCTGTTCAATATGTTGGTTCTCCAATTCTACAATTAAGACATCAATTTCCTTTAAAGGAGATTGTTTCTCCAATATACTCTACTAATCCAGAATTAAGTATTCCTGAGTTCAAATTTGATCCTAGGGTACTAACTTATAAGTTTTCGTACAAACATGCAACTAATATACCTGGTTTCTGGCCCGGTGATCCTGCTGAATTTGGTTTGTTATCTTATCACAATATAAATAATGTATTTTTTAATTCAGAGATTAAGGATGAAGAAGCAATTACCGTGCAAGCTATTTTTGCATCTTATAGTTGGTTGTTATCGCAAGCTTGTTATCAAGGTAATACATTATGAGATAAATATTTCTTTTAACGAAGTTACTTGAATGTTCCTTACTATACATGTTTTTTTATTTCCTCTAACATTTTTTAATTTCAGGCTTTTCCACGTTCAACGATATAATATATCCATTAGTGTCGCAAACAATTTTGACAAACGGTCAATATTGGTCTTTCTGTGTTTACCAGTTGAACACCACTTTATTACATTGGGAATATGCAGATAACAATCCTGCGCGTAATATATGTTGGATAACAGAACCAATGATGTTGTTCGATAAAATAGAGGATGGAAAAATTCAAGGGTTCAACGAAGATGTTTTAAAAAAATTGATCACGTTTTATATCAATATGCCTGCAGCACGAAGTAATGAAAATATGAAACCATACTTGGGCGAATCTGTGAAATATGTTGCTGACATTACTGATCCCGAACGAAGAGCATGGTTAGAAACGAGATTTAAGCACCTTATGTCTAATAGACCAAGACATCAGTACGTACATATATGTATAAATAATCTATTATATATACTAAGAAACGATTAATTATCATCACATAAAAACATTAATTTCTCTTTGCTTTATAGGTTACAGCCTGAAATATATCATTGGCAGAAAATATATATGATTGATAACGATACTCGCCCTGTTGATAAGAAACGTGACCCGTGGCAGTTTGGTTTCTCGGCTGCGAAACGAAGATTAAATCAGCATCAGCCGGCTTATGTACCAAGATGTTTAAGAGAAAATCCGAAAAAGAAAAAAATAGGCCGTTGGGCGAAAACATATTATCCAAATGCATAAACCACTAGACTTATGTATCTTGAATATAAATGTTGTATTAATAAAAAATAAAGAGAACAGTTATCAGTTAAATTTCAATTAGAACGTTATTTCAATAGTTTTCCTTTCAATATCAATCCGTACAGCAATAATTATACGTCTTTAAACAACTATTTTTCGCGTTCTTATAGTTTAACATACAATATAAAAGAGCTGGTATCTGTATAAGTCGAAGATGTCTCGATCGTATCGATAAAGTAATCTTACTATTGGAATGAAATTTTTCGTGATATGATATTAACTTTTGAAAATGGTCTACATTTCCGATAACAGTTTGATTACATCAATTGAACATAACGTTGAACTATATACATGAATATTTTTATTTGCACTGATGGGTTTTTATTCGATTTATCTCTTACAATAACGATTTATAATTAGAACTAATATAATATATAATATAATGATATAATATAGTAAGGAAGTCATACTATTTGTATTTCAGAGTATTCATAGATTGCGGAGATAATTCTAAACAAAGTGTACCTTTCTGTACATCCTTCAAAACTACGTGTCTTGGGGAAGTAGCCCTGAAATAGAAATTTAAGATAAAAGTTTGTTTAGGATAAAAATAAACATTTCATCATTTTATGTTAAATAATTACGCAATAATAGTAATAATAACAATTTTTTTCACCTATTGTATAGGACAACGACGTTTTCCGCTGAAGGTGTAACGAAGGCTGCAGATTTGATAGTATCGGTATCGGTAATAGAAATTCTAACGGAACCTCTGTCAACGAATCTGCTAAAATGTTTGATAGCATAATACATAGGTTGTTTATAAAATTCATCGGTTTTCGGGTTGACGATAATAGCTGCGTCGATATTATTATTAATATTGTTTGGTCCACCAGTTTCGTCCAAAGCTAAATTCCAATCCACCCAACCAATTGACCAATGGTTCATGTACTTGATGCAAAACACGTTTCGTTAACGATTAACTTTTATATTTAAAAATAGGATAAATATTCTTCAAGTAAAACGACCATAAAATCACGTAGGTTCTTTTACCTCTATTATGCTTAAAATATATCTTTCACCTCGATGCCACGCTTCCAATTTAACTTTCGAAGTGTTCCATATTGGAGGTCCTATGGCGAGGAGTACCATGTCGATATAAGTTCGTAAACTAATTATTTTGCAAATTCGACTTTTTACAATCCTTCGCAAGTAAAAAGTGTGCATTTTTCGTTCATAGGATACTACGTATGTGCGAGTGTGCGCGTAAAAGGCTTACCTATTACAGATGCTTCGGTCATGAAAATTAATTTGTCTGGGAACTCATCGTGGGTTTGATCTAATACATCTGCGGGAGTTTTGGAATCTTGATACCAATGTACAGCTGTCCCGGCAACGTATTTCTTTGCGTTTTGATTTCGGAACGTTGGTTCGATAAATTTGGGTAATACCTGTCTATTTTCATCAAAGGCGAAAAGCAGTGTTTTATTGTGCGGCGACGATGCTAATGTCGGACCCAAGTTGTTAGCGATCCAATTAGACATTGTTTCGGGTTCCCATCCCATAGAGATATTTGGCAATTTAAAAATAAGGGCAGTTAGTGGCTCGTTACCAGTCGTAATAGCCCATATGTCAATACCGTTGTTTTTATATTCATCGAGGAACTTTAGCAGATAGTCAGCGTAGACTTGGTAATACTCTTCTTTTAAGAAAGCTAATCAACGATTATTAGATTAATTACCGTTTTTTTGATTTTCTAATTTGTTTTAGCACACTTCTATCATACGTACTGAGTCCGTTGTCGTTGCTTTTCATCCATAATGGAGCAGTCCATGCAGCACTGAAGAATTTAATTTCGGGATTGAATTCAAGCGCTTTCCTCGCATATAGTAGTTTGTAATCGAAATCCTCGTTCGCAAGTGAAAAGTGTTTAAGCGTGGTGTCATTGGGCGTATCGTCATACGTATACGATCTTTCTGAAAAATCGCTCGCCCCAATAGGTATACGACCCAGTGTGTATCTGCTTCCTTCCTTTGGATCATAATATGCTCTATAAATAATTCAACGTTATAATTATATATGTAAAATAAAAAGGATCGTACACATCGATTGACAATTCAATTCTATAAATTCGATAAATTTAAAAGAGATATGCGACGAGGTTTATGGAAAAATAAAATTATATACGAGCATAGGGTAGATTCTTTGTATGGCGCAACTTTTACCGAAAAAAGATATCACAGTATCGTGGATATTTAAAATATTGATCACATTATCTCTGTAGATATCAATGATTACCGAATCAATTGAAGTTGAGTAGCTGGGCTGAGTTTTGCTATGTTTATACCAGTAGAATCGGTAAATGCGCCACCGAAGCCAAAAATCGTTTGATACTTTTTCGTATTATCTATGGTGAGCGTTACGTCCACAGGGAAATTTTCGCAGCTATCGAATTTTAGTTCTGACATCTTCATTCTCAGCCCCTGTTTATTCGTCACATACCAATAAGAATTACCTTCCTCTGGAACTTCCGGTCTACCATCTGGTAGTCCATCGCAATATGTTGCATTGCAAACACATGCGATTACGTCGTTGTCTATACGGTACGGCACGCACTCATTCGCGATACCTATGATGAATGAAAATATTTCCACTAAGTTCGCCAGAAATGAAATTTACCTTCACCGGCAATAACGAGAGCTTACCTTTGCCGAAGAAGAAAGTAACTAGCAGAAGTGTCTTCCACGCGTGTCTCATGGTGTTTGTGGAAAACTAAAGTAGAAATATGAATAGAGGCACTCGAATTTATATAAGTATATATATTGTCATGCACACAAAAATAGTAAGCTATCTAATCTTCACCTACCTGTCGCTTATAGTTAATATATTATCTGTTTTTTTCTAAATGATTCTTTTCTAATTTTTGGCGGTATCATCCGAGTAAATAATTGTCTTGTGCTAATAATAATAATAACTTTACTGCTTGTTTACATATCGACTTCTATAAATTCCTATACAATGCAATTAGGTTGTCCGAAAAATGTCTTTCTTTCGTAAACGGTTTTTTTACAACAGTGCACTTTCATACAAACGCGAAACCAAGTTTGTGAAATGTCGCGGTGTTTATCTCGACATAATAAAATGAATCATACGTAATTCGACAAAATAATATAAAAGAAAAAACGTTGTGCGTCCATTATTTCCTCATAAAACGAAAGAAAAACTTTTCGGACAACCTAATATACGTACATTGTATTTAAATGAATGTATTTTTATACATTATTATATATATTAATTTTTGTATATATACATATAAATATATTACGTATACATATTAGGTCATCCTATAAGTTCGTGTCGACTTTTGTGTATACATTTCATGTGTCGATTTATGAACATATGGCGATAAAGGACCAATGCACTTGAGCTTAGCTGATCGAGAACAGGCTAGAGCAGATTTTCGTGGGTATAAAATCGTAATATAGTGAAGACATTGATTTCCAACGGTAAAAAATCGCGAGTGAAATGCGTATCCATTTTCGACATCTCGTGTTATATGAATTTCGGAAAGGAAGTTCTGTAACAATTGCCACGAAAAACATATATGGTGTTTACGGAGAAAATGCGCTTTCATCTCGCACCTGTAGGAAGTGGTTCCAACGTTTTGTAGCCGGGAATTTCTGTTGAGGAGACGAGGAACGCTCCGGACGTCCTCCTCAGACAGACGAAGATAAAATTCGGGATCTTGTTGAAAAATCACGAAGTTTCACAGTTCAAGAGATGTCAATGTTCTGAAAATACCCAAGACAACGATTCATAGGTGTTTAAAAAAATGGGGATGGTGTCATAGTTGAACGTTTGGATGCCCCATGAACTTACGGAACGGAACCGTCTTGAACGAACGACAGCGTGCATGTCATTACTTGCGCGTAATAAACACGAGCCATTCCTTAAACGCCTGGCAACTGGTGATGAAAAGCGGATACTTTACGAAAACCCTGAACGGAAACGTAGCTAGTCCCAACGAAATCAGCCACCTCAACGCTGTGCAAAACCAGGGTTACATCCACGTAGAGTTCTTTCGTGTGTATGGTGGGATTATAAAGAAATACTCTATTTTGAACTTTTATCTAGTGGTGATACCATTAATTCAGACAAATATTGCACTCAGTTAGAAAAATTAAGGGAAGCACTAGCTGATAAACGACCAGGTTTAGCGAATAGGAACAACCTTATCTTCCATCACGACAACGCTAGACCGCATGTCGCGAAAAGCGTTACAAAAAAATTGTCTGAATTTAATTGGGAAATTTTACCATATTCCCCATATTTCCCAGACATTGCCCCATCTGATTACCACCTGTTCAGAGCATTACGACACTTTTTAGTAGGTAAAAAATTTGAAAATATTGACATTCTCAAAAATAGCTTAGAAAATTATTTTAAAGAAAAACAAGAGAACTTTTATCGAGACGGAATAATGGCCCTACCAGAAAAATGAGAAGAAGTTGTACAACGAGAGGGGGATTACATTTTTTCATGAAACTAAAAGATATGTAAACAATCTTAACATATATAACGAACAATCTTAACATATGTAACCGCTCGAAAAACGGCAGGAACTTATGGGATGACCTAATAGATGCGATACATATACAGGGAGGTTGGTAACTGGTGGTACAAGCGGAAAATTTTTCGTTCGAGGCTTTGTTTTCGAGAAAATCGACTTTGAATTTTCGCTCGGTACGCGTGCACTTTATCGCGTCTAGTTATAACGGATCTCACTGTAGAAAAATTAAAAAAAAAAAAAATTAAAAAAGAAATTTTTATTCTATATTTTCGACTTCTTTCTTCGCGTAGAATCACCCCCTTTCCGCTTGTACCACCAGTTACCAACCACCCTGTATATGGTATTGATATACAATATGTACACAGCTAAAGTGAAATAAGGATTAGATAAATTTGAAAGGGAAAGTTCAGTTAGTAGACGAAGATATGAACATTTCAGATTTTTCAATTTCGTTTTATCGTGTTAATAGATAATAGACTGTTACTCGATGATTCGTTATTCTTATCAGGTATATCGATTATTGTCGCAAAATGTAAGTCTTCGTCTGGAATAGTATGGAGAGAATTTCAATTTCGAGATACACGTTTTATTATGTTATATATTAGCGTTATAATTTATTTATAATTTATTGCGTTATAGCGTTGCCATTTATCGGTACATACAATATGACGATATTACAAATTATATTTAATAATCAACGAGTTACAAGTTGTAACTTACAAGTTGTTACAAGTTATTGTGCATAAATTACGGTATTCATGGAGTATGCGGGTAATTCCAAGCAAATAGGATCCTTTTTCGGATCATTGAGAACGATGTTCTTTTTCTGGGTATTGCTGTAAAAGAAAATAAATTTCGTGAACAAATTATTAAACTCAATCCCATCAATGTTGAAAACTGAGTAATTGGTAAATTATTTCGTAATTTTCTGTAAAATAAACTGTGATTACTTGTTATATAGAACAACTACGACTTGATTCGAAGGTGTTACGAAGGCTGTAGCTTTAACATTGTGCGTATCGGTGATAGCAATCCTAACGGAGCCTCTATCGACGAATCTGCTAAAGTGCTTAAGAGCATAGTACATTGGCTGTTTATAAAATTCATCGGCGTCTGCATTTACAATAATGGGCGAGTCGACGTAATTTTGAATCCAGTTTGGCCCACCGGTTGTGTCTAAAGCTATATTCCAGTCTACCCATCCAACCGACCAATGATTCATGTACTTCAAACAGAATATTTTTCTTATAAGTAGAAGTAATTTTTGTACGTGTTTAATGTATAATGTATTCAATTAAAAAACTTTACGTCTCGTACACGATTATGTACTGTAACCATTTACCATACCTGTATTATGCTTAAAATATATTCCTGCCCTCTGCTCCACGAACCTAAGGAAACTTTTGGATAATCCAAAGTTCCGGTACCTGCGTATAAAATGATGTTACCGTTATATATAGTTGTTGATCACGTGTAATATATAATAGTTCAAAAAGGAAATGTTACTACAGAACGTCCATGGAACTGACGTTTCACGAAGGAAACATATTATTTAAGTTGATCTTGAAATTCAATTAAAATCACTAGATACTTTTTTCTGGATGAAAAACTCGATATAGGTATATGTATATTTAAAAAGCAAACTTTTGCTCTTTGTGTGTAGCGATGCTTTGTAACAGTTGTTAGAGAAAGCAAGCGTTGTGTTAAACTGTTCCGTAATTGTTACAGAGATATAGTATTTGAATAGTTTACCTGTACATGCTTCAGTCATGAGAATAAATTTATCCGGAGAACCATTGTGTGTTAAATCCAATAATATTGGAGGAGCGAAACTATCCGTATACCAATGTACGGCTGTACCAACGATGTATTTTTTCGCGGTTTTATCTTCGAAGACTTTATTTACGAACCAAGGTAATTCGATTCTCTGATCATCTAGAACAAGAATTTGTGTGCCATTGTGGGCGGACGCTGCCAAAGTTGGACCCGCATAGTTAGCGACCCAATTAGCGAGAGTGTCTGGTGTCCAGCCCATACTGTTGAGGCGATCAAAAGGTACATAAGCATTTAATGGCTCGTTTCCTGTCGAAACGGCCCATACATCGATGCCATTGCTTTTATACGCGTCCAAAAATTTTACTATGTAATTGGCATATGCCTGATAATAATCCTTCCTTAAAAACCCTAGACATAAATTGTAAATTAGTATTATAATATATTACGAAACACGCTTAAGGAATTATTTGAAACGGTTCGTTTTCAAATAAAAAGGATACATTTTTCTATCCTTTTTTCTTCGATTTTTTCTCCTTCTCGATATCGTATCAACACACTTACCAAATCCATTGATTCGATCATTAGTTTTCATCCATGGCGGAGCTGACCATGCAGCACTAAAGAATTTCACATCCGGGTTTAATTCAATGGCTTTTCTTAGATATGGTATCTTATAATCGTAATCTTCCTCAGTGAGGCTAAAGTTTTGCAGTGACACATCACCAGCGACGTCATCGTACGTGTAAGGTCTCGTAGAGAAGTCAGTTCCAGCGATTGGTATTCGACCTAACGAATACCTGCTCCCGTTTGAACCGTAGTACGCCCTGCAAGCGATTAAACACCCTCAGTTGTACGTATAGCAACATACGTAATTAGATCGAGGTAATATCATGTTCAAATAATTACATCAAATCATGTCGTACATTCAAGAAGCAAACGTTATCGTGTTATCAATTTCTTTAAGAATTACAAGTCCATCATTGTTCATATTCGCTTTTCGGAATTTTTCAACGATGTTTTATAATTCGTAACTTTAAAAATAAAAAGATAAAACAAATTTCGATCGTTTTCACATTTACTCATAAATTGTAGATCTTGGAAATATTTTGTGAAATATTAAAGCGCTGTTTGAAAATTTTACGTAACCGTAGAGATGTAATATGTTCGTTGCATAATTGTGTATTTATCGAGGTTTAATTACCGCATCAATTGGTCCTGAGTAGCCTCGCTGAGATTTTTGATATTTATTCCCGCCGAGTCCGTAAAAGCACCGCCAAAGCCTAAGACGGTTTGATATTTTCTCGATGTATCTATATCTAGAACTGTGCTGGAATTTTGACAAGAACCCATCCGCGCCTGTAGCATGCTCAGCCTGAGACCCTCTTTGCTCGAAACGTACCAGTAGAACGTTCCGCTTTCTGGGACTTTGGGGTTGCTGTCCGGTAGCTCGTCACAGTAGGTTGCATTACAAACGCAAACGACACTGCCCTGGCCAAAATTTCGAGGCACGCAGTCATTTGCATCGCCTATGATTAAAGATATCTGTTGTTAAATATTTTACAATCGATAAGATGCAATTGCGCGAGCTAACGTTAAAACGTATAGCATATAATTAGAGGAAGAAAAATACTTTGGATTCGGGTATTTTTTATTTTGCGAACATCGTTGTTAAATTTGTCAAGATTTATCCTTACTTGCAACGATGACCAATATTACAAGCAGAAGCGGCGCTTTGCATTTGTCCCACATAATTATCGATGACTACTGAAACACAACATTTACATACATATACATAGGTTTGTATTTTAAAAAATTACGTGTTTTAGCGACTTCCCATTTGATTTGCGCGAAAGCGAAAGAATCTATTATATTAGAAAGATTCCGTTCTTCGATAGGTGCGGTCGAATATAATATTTGAACGATCGGATGTTTCCTATGTGTTCGGTTCTTTTTCATAAAACGTATTGTTCTCGGCAGTCTGTACGTTGCGTCACCTGTCGCGTCGTTGCTTCGCTGCTCGCGTTACCTATATCTACGAATACCTCGTATCTTTCTCTCTTCTTTTTCACTATTTTTCCTTCTTTCTGAGAAATACAGGTTAGTTGCAACAATGATCTGTAGACGGTTGCTTTCGGATTGAAACACACATTCCAACGAACTTTCGGACGTCGAACAATATAGTTATCGATCATAGCTGTATATTTCAGGTTATAACGATTGCCTAGAGAAAATATATTTTAACAATTCGAGTGTCGAATCCCTCGCCTCGACGAAACAACAGAAAGGAAATTGCTATTGACGTATAAAGCGTTTATAAACCGAAAATGTCTCAAAGTACGACCATGACGCCGGTGAAATGAAAACGTTGACACGTAGAATTTCGATTTGGCTTTACCGTTCGTCTAAGGCTCTCCGTATAGTTCGAATCGTGGATGACATCTACTGTATCGTGCGATGAATCGCCACATTTTATGCACATTTCTGACCACGCTATATCGATTACTTATTTATGCACTCGTACGTTATCGTTTCTCGTGATACCTGAGAATGCAAATTTCTTTCATTTTGCCCTGCAAACTATTCAGGCAAGTGAAAGATCTTGTAATTTCGTTCGAATTATAGCTATCTAATTGGTAATATACATAGCGATACTGCAAGTATATCGGAACGGCAAAGAAAATTTTAATTGGCTATGTTACGAAAGAAAATATATATGAGATATATAGCGAGTATTAGCGAGACGGAATGTTATTTGAAACAATAAATATGCATGCGAGTATATTATATGTATACGTCTTATAAGATATTATTTCTCATGCTTTATAAATAGACCGTGAATTATTTACCATTTTACCTGCACTTTTGTGATCTTTTTTTTATCAAGAATATATTCCTTGCTTTTCTTTTTTTGCAGTGTCATGCACTTGTTACCTACGTTTAGAAAATACGATAATCGAACAATGCGAGAACAGAAAGAAGAGGGACAAGTTCGCTCATTATTGCCATTATTTTCTAGTTGTATCGATACTTAGAGCTTATAAAAAGCGTACGAATTTTCTAAGCGGATTGTAACGAATGATCAAAGCGTTTAATCGATTAGATCGTAAACTGCTTTATACGTATCTCTGTTAGGATTACGAGGCGCAGGACATAGACCGTAGGGAAGAACATGGGTCTCGCGTTTATGCATGAACCGATGTGCGATGACCAATGCAAGTAAAATTCGCGAGTGGCACGGGATGTTCTTGAAAAACTCACCGAATAAACGAATACAACGATCTGTAAATATGTTTGGAAAAATGTGTTTGAACCCGATCTCGTAAAATGTTACTGCGAAGTGCTGAATTTAAGGTCGAAACTGGCCAAGAAGTGAAATTCAGTTCTTTATATATATTCTAAAATGGTATAATTTTGATGGTGGGGCACGCGAGACTTGGCGATATAGCACAGTGGTTCCCAAACTTTTTTTAGTCACGGCGCATTTTTAAAAATGTAGAGATAACGCGACGTACGTGGTATATAAATTTTACAATTTATTCCAAAGAGGCATTTGTACACACGAACATTGATAAAAAAAAAAAAGAAAAAAGTATCTCGCTTTTTCGCGGCGATGCACCTAATCTTATTCCGAGACGCACCTTTTGGGAATCACTGATTTAGCACGATGCGCTCGCGTACGACACAATCGCATATGACTCTATCCCAGAAAGAGATACACCAGACTAAACATACGCGTTTTCGCTTTGTGCAAGGTACGTTACTAGCGGTAACATTTTGTTCCACATATTCTCTTTTCGAGAAAGCGTTGCTCCGATCTAACATTTTCAATAAAATCTTGATTATTCGTTTATTTGAATGCAACGTTGAATCTTACAAATACGATAGAATCTTCGAAATATTTCGGATTTTTATTCGAACTACGTAGCGTCATTTAATATCGAAAGTTCAACTTAAACGATATTCACGTCAGCATGTCGATTAAACAAAAGTATGAAAGACGAAGTCTTTGTAAATTCATTGCTCGCGTGGCGGCATTCAGCCAGCTTTAACGAAGTTAATCGTTTCTGTCTCGTGAAAATCAACGGGCGACAAACTTTGGATAAAAAGAGAATGCGCCGAAGTTTTGCTCCAGAAGCGACTTGAGCGATTTTCGTGAAATCTTACTATAGCGAGAACAATACTTGGTGAGAATCTTTTGTACAACAATAACAATGCGGTGAAATGCAGTATATTTCATTTTTATACTCCATATATCGGTTAAATATTTATCGAAGCGAGTTAATCGCGATGTGTAGTTTCAGACAGATTCGGTGTTGACGAACGATATCATTGTAGTCTGGAAACGATGACGTCTTGCGATTCGCCAGCATCGTGTATCTTGAATCAAGAGGTGGCGGATTAGCGGATGTGTGACAGTAGATCGTATTAGTAGCGAAGCAAAAATAGATCACAACCAACGTTAAACCTAAAATAGTCGAACAAAATTCAACCTGAGAGAATCCATTAAATAGAATATTGTGAACATAACAATAAATGATCGTGTTGTGTATATTATTACGTGGAATCGTTCGAAAAGGTACTTCGTAAAGACAACACGTGATACAAACGTAGGAATAGGATCGAGTCAACGACGCGATCAATTTTAATAGCGGAATAAAATTGACATTTCGGTCGAAAATTACATTTGAACGAATTTTTCGAATCGAACGAATTTCTGGAATAAAGTTGCGCGCAACGACACATTTCGAATCGAAGTCGTCTCGCTTCGTCCGTCTTTCATTCTCTCGTCAATTAGCTTTTATTCAGCCGCATTACTTTTAAAAATGCGGTTTGATTTAAAATTGATGTCGTATATCCAGGTTTCTATATGTATATGTATTTATATTTTATTTATCGTAACTTTAATGGTACGATCATAAATTACGTTTGCAAGTCTTTGAATATTTAGATTTCAATGCCAACGATACCCGATTATTTCCTTGACAATGCAGATACGTGACTATCTTCTAAAAACATTTTGTATTATCGGTTTAACCTTCCCAAACTGTTTAGTAATGAGAATGCTTATCACTCGGTGTTTCTTCCTCGTTTGGTAATCATCAGTGACTCTAGCCGTATATCATAACTATGATAGATACATACATTGAGAAATAAGGTCGCGAAGCGGTGCGAAATTCCCTGTGAAATTAATCGCTCTCGAGAACAGAGAATTCAGGTAACAGAAAAAAAAATAATTTTCGCGCATACGTCGATAAGTGGATCGAGTCGCAAGATAGCTTGATAAGTGGATAAGATACGAACGCGAAGGAAACGTGAATTTTAAAATAAACGTCCTTGGAAACATTGTGCGGGACATCGTTGTTTTCGCCTTGACATCGCGTTTATAAATTAGGAGTACCATTAGTATCCGAAATATTTTCAGCCTTGATAGATTTTTAGTACCTTACGAATCGTAAGTAGTGTTCGTTTATGTCAATTACGTGAAGTGTAAATTAGGAGATATAGACGGTAACCCGACTAACGAATCGACGAAAGACGGCGATAAGAGTACGCAAGTAAGTCCTTGTGTGGACGAGCGATGGATTTAGGCTCAAGGGGATCCTGCATCCGTTCCGCAGGTTCACTGTCTACGACATTTATCCACGATGACTATCGCTATCGAGTGTGCACTGTACAGTGTGCAGGCACGAGTCAAGTTCCAATAGCTTATACAAGGCACAAAAATGCAATCTAAAGTTCAAATTCCACGGTATAGATCAAATTCATAGGTGCGATACCTTCGCTTGTGATCTTAACGATCGATCGTGACATAAAAGTTTTAATTAATTGCTACTCTATCGATGTAAATAAACGCGTGCGAAGTTAAATTTACTGGATAAATGTCAAGAAAAGTAGATCGAAACATATAAGGAAGTTTAATCTTGCGTCGGTGGTACGGTACGAGGCAGTAGAACGGTATAATTATGCAAATCGGTAGCAAAAGTTTTTAATGAAAATTTGTAATTTTGAATTTTCTAAGAACTCTAAACTTTCCAGATGCGATGAAAATGTTAATCAAATGGTGTTTCGATGTCTCAGTGAAACGTTCTACGTCGATCTGTCGTTTGCATTTAAACGCGTCTTTCCCTTTCCGTCCCTTCGTTTTAACGATGGCTCTTGGTTTTGAAAACATAGAAACGCGTATTTGGCTAGGAAGAACGCAACTGTTCCCAACTAATCCTGGAAAGTAGCGAAGGGCTCGATGTTGACAGCGTTTCTAAGGATAGATGGCACTTTACTTTCTTAGGCTGAGATTAAATTAAAGTAAGAGACAAACGAAGGCGCTAAACGTGCTTCGCTCCTGCGAACATGTGAAATACGTTAGTTCGATTTAAGGTGGCTAAGGCCATCGGTCACACTCCTATAGAATATACGTATAAATACTCGCGGACGATTTTCAGCGGCAGCGATTCGTGTTCCGTGTCGCCATACCGGTCGCGATGCTGTTTTTCATTAAACGACACCTCTTTTTAACGAATCGTCCAAATTCGTAGTTCTTTCGTGCTTTCGATCGTAGTCAATGTGCAAAACGATTCGATTAATTTTCGTCATATCGAACGATAACGATATAATTGCACGATACTAGCGCGAATAGCGTCCGTCTCTTCCATATTTCGTAGTCGTAACTAAGATCGTTCAACCGGATAAAAAATATCTCTTTACTCGCGCGTAGTAGAATGCATGTTTGTAAGTGGATATTAATTATGCTATCTATTTCGTCAGTCGTTGTTCGTATCTAATTGACAACTGGTACTGATAAAATATAATCACAGTGCTAAGAAACATTCTCTACGATTTACATAAGTTAATTATCATTTTAAAGTAGTAAATACACTTAGAAATTACAATTTACTTCTGTACACGTGTACGTATCTTCACATTGCAACTGGCCTTTATACGCATTGTTGTAAATAATTTAAAGCTTGCACGAACAAATGGTCGTCAATGTCGTTGAAAGTGTACCGTGTAATTTCGTGCTTGAGTTTAAGATAAAAAATATCAGCAGATACATAACGTTACTCTATCCTTAGCGATTCTCTTGGACTCAAGTAAGGACAGTTCTTTTATTCGCGCAAAGTTTGGTACTTTTCTTTTTAACTCGGAAATATGCGATAAAGAAACAAAAGCAAAAGTCGAAGACTCGAGCGAAATAAAACTGTCGTGATAATTTCTCAAGTTCGACGAGAACAGTCGATATCCGAAAAACTTTGAGCTATTTGATCAAACCATTTGAAATATGTACTTTTGTCACGCGATCTTTTTGAAACTGCACCAATACTATCACGAACGATTAATTTCTTTTAAATATTCGTACACTGTCATTGGATTATTCCGCAGACTCCTTAATATGGTATTGCCATTTGTTGGACTATCGTCTCTCTCTTTAACGTCTAATCGGAGAACAGTCGAACGTCGAAGAAAATTCGAATGGTAACACGTTCGAAATGTAACGATAAAGAACGCGAGAGATGATTAAAGAAAGGATTCTTACACGCGTGCAGCTTTTTATTCGTAGCATCTAACTCTGCTAGCTCCCTGCGGCAGATTTTCGTAGGATTTTATAATAATTTCTGGTCACGTCCGGGATATGCATGAACTTTAAAAAGTGGCGCCTTTGTGCTTACGGAATATTAAAGCCATTCATATTTACCAGTGAGTAGATACCTACTGTAGACACGTAATAACGCACAGTCCTTTTTCTTTTCGTTTTGAAATTATCGTTCCTTTCTGTTCGTTTGCGTATTCAACGTAAGACGACGCTATTTCGCTACTTCCGATGTTCGGATTCATTGCCGGCTATTCTACTTCGCTACTTCTGATTCCGGCCTATGAATATGAATCGCATCAATTACATGGAACGTGATCTAACTTACCGGCTACAGGGTGTTAAAAGAATAACGGCCGTGAGCCTTTTCCACGCAGAGCGTCGGTTTGGCCAAAGAGTTATTCTTACACAGGTTAGCTATATCGCGTTGCATGCATTTATACGTTATACGCGAACATACGGTATAGTTTCATCGAAATATACGACCGAAATATGTGGTTCGATTGATTCATTGGCAAGTATGTAAAGATATAACGGCAATATGATTTTGACTTTAGTGAAAAATAGGAAATATAGTCACCCATTGGCTTTTCGTGTTATTCGTTTGACGTAATAATCTTTAATAGAAGAGAGAAAAAAACTTACTTGCAAAGTGAGAAGCGTTCGTCGATAAATAAATAAATAAATTAATAAATAAACTAATCCGAAACTACCGTAACGTTGATCCGGTGCGATCGTACGAGACAGTAAATTTAAAGAACGAACATATTGCTGCTGAACGTTACTAAGAGAAACGCGACCGAGGCAAATACGTATAACGTGGAACTTTTAGCGATCTCTACTGTGTTATATAATCCCGAAGTCGGAGAAAGAGCAACGTAACGTATCCTCGGTAATGCGGATGCGGGAGGCGGTATCAGCAGTCATGCGCTAGCCTGCCTCTCGATCCCTCGAGTCCAACTTTTCGTAATGGATGCAGGACGCATCTATCATCCCTCGTCATCAACGTCAAAATCCTGGCCAAACACGGCAGCCATCGGCTCCCCACTGAATACCGACTACCGAATACAAAAGAGCAACCAACGAATAGCAGATAGTACGTTCAGCTACTTTCTAGCTTCTTCCGTCTGAACGCGTTCCGTCTATTGGTCTACACACGCGCGCTCGTTACCCAAAACTACTCGTTATTCCGAGATATTCTTATTTTAGAATTCTAACCAACCGTGCCAGCATCTGCGACCAAAGACGCTGATTCGACTATCGCTGCGTAATAACGTACAGTGGTAGGTCAAAACGACGAATCGAATCTACTTTTATTATCGAAAGGAGACATTTAGCAGAAGCGGAAAATGCGTCTCGTACACGTTCAACGATATAGCCGAGTTCAACGATGTTCCTCGGAACAATTCGTTCGTCCGACGATACGCGTTTCTTTGTTTCATTTTGCTCTATACTCCACAGAAGAAGTACTTGATAACAGTTTGAAGCACAGTTTTTCGATAGGAAGCATCGTTCAACGAATTTTCACGAATTTTCAACGTCCATGCGCGATGCATGAAATCGTTGCTACGTTCTGCATTCTATGCTCCAATTGTCGAAACGCTGCGCAGGAAATAAATATAAGCAACGTTCCTTTTTCAGAAAACTTTCAATTTGATTAAATTTCAGCCTCGGCTTCGGTTTTCTAACTCGTGCGAGCTCTTCTAATATCATCCAATGAATTCTTTCGACCGACTTTCTTCTTCCAATGAAATGCTATCATTGTTAACCATACCTTGCCTTTCGTCCATCCATTTAGCTTCAGTTTAGGTTTAATTTTGTACGCATGGCGTACGAGTAGCAACATCTGGAATATTATTCGTTTTAAAGTATCGAATTCGCACAGTATGGAGCAGGGAAGATTTAACGTTTAAGCTGCACAGCCTCCCTGGATGGGCTTTCGTTCTTTCGGGGATAGTTTGAAAATCGATCGAATTTCAGTGCAGGTAGATCATCTCTTACACACTGTACTGTACTGTATTTTTTGAAAACCTTGACAATCTAAACGATACCTCGGCACGAGCAACGACAGAGTAACGCATTCGACAAGAGAAACTAAAGATATTATTAATCGAACGGTGCAAAAAGCGAGCAATTTTCTTCGCGTAAAATCTTCGCATTTTGGCAGAACTACTTTTAGACTAATAAAGCGAAATACGAATACTTTTTGCTCATTTTGCGTTCGATTTGTATTTCTCTTTTCTGACTATACGCTCTCTGTGGTTTCGGTGGCTTTAAATCGGAATAGCAATTACTCTCCTGTTAACGTTACTCGTAGCAAAAAGTCGATGCCTTTGCAGAAAGATCGTTCCATTTCCTCCGTCAAAGAGATTATCGCTCAAGGTGTGCGAAGTCTTAACGAAAACGAACCGAAATCTCGTAATTCTGATAATAAGAATAAGGAATATCAAAGTGGAGGGAGCGCTGCGCTCAGCCTGGAAACGAACCACCAGTAATGACCTAAGTTTGTCACGGAGCGGTTTGAGATAATAGCGAGAGGTTAGACGAGCGCGTGGTCAAACACTCGGCGACCCGCTGGATTACATCGCAATCCGAACGGTATAGAAAGCAAATTGTTGGAGCAAATACGACGTTCGCCCATTTGAACTTGCTTCCAGCCTTCGATGAAAGTGGAATATCCTTTGAGTTTCTTGATTGTTTCCATCTTAACTTCTGGCCCAATTCCCTTGTCGAATAATTTTCCTAATTTCGTCATGATCTATCATTCTGTGAACTGTTGAATGAAAACGTCCTTGGAAACGAGCCGAATTATTTCTGGCTGTTACTTCAAATCGCACTCGCAAATCTAAATTTGTCGAATACAAGTGTAGACGCTTTTTTTTTTTTATCAAAGCTTCTCTCCAAAGCACACATTCTGATGTAGATAAATTTTCCATCGGGAAAAATTGAACGGTAATTTGTTCGGCGAACGAGCAAACTCGATAGAAGAAGAGGAAATTGCATCGAAATGGATTCGTATGCAACGCTAAGTGCATTCAACGTGATAAGGCAATATTTTAAGAATTTTAATACGGTTTCCATGCTTTAAAGCGTAAAGTTTTATTTCCCTGTGTCACCTGAGTCCGCTATATTTGCAGGTATCCTATATTTATAGCGTCCCTCGGAAGCTAATGCATTGCAGTAAGGTCGTTTCATACTTTATATTTATCCGTTGTTTCATAATCCAATCCTTAGAGTCACTAATTCAAGGCAAAGAGAACTCTATCGGAATAAGAATTTTTTATGGAGTTATTTGTTTCGTTAAATTCGCTAGTCTAATAACGTCGTGTACGTTACATAAAGAAGGAACGATTATCCAAGCTGGACGAAATTGCTTAGGCGGCTAAAAACGATCGATGGACGAATAATGCTTAATGGATAGGAACGTACGGGATGAACATATTTTACAAGAAACTTATATTTTACTGGAGAGGTTTACGGCTTAATTTGCCTTTGTTGCCGTGAGTACAGATAATAAGAGTAATGTGCCGTGATTATAGAGTTGGTCGTTGTATCGCTTTGTTACCGTCTCGCAAGACCAACGTGAAAGCTCTCGTCCGCTTTCTGCGTAACTTATCAAAATCAAACTGGCCGTACATTTAGTGGAAAAAATGCTTTACACGACTTTAATCCGGAACGCACGGGTCGACTGCTTGAGAAACAAAGCAAGCAGGACTACTCGGAAAAAGTATTTAGCTGAGAGAAAAGTTTGTATAGAAAATGCAGATTTATCGCATCCTTGAATACTCGTTCTTCGTACTCGCTTTGTCCGTAACTATTCGCTCGAAGCGAACTCAATGAGAATTTAACGCAACGACAACCAAGTTGCAAATTCTGTCGGTTTTCAACTTCAGGAAAATTTATCGATATGATTTCTAGTAATCGAGTTTAATTCGGTCGAAGCGGAGCTGTAACGATTATGTTTACCATATTTTCGGAAATTGCGCGAATAAATTGTTAAGCGAAAATAACGTTGTTGGCAAAGGCGATGTTGGAAAATGCGTTAAAAAGGATGGGAAGGGAGGAGGAGAATCCGTGCGAAAGGACAGACCGTGCGACGAGCAGGAAACACGTTACATGTCGGATACACGTAGCATGTTAATTAAACTCTCATTAGTCGGGTATACTGGGTTGACGCGGTTTTTAAGTTAAGGCCGGAAGTTTACGATTTGAGATAGGACGAGCGAGTACTATCTCGACTGGAAACGCGAGATGGTTTATCGTATGCAGGTAGTAGCCGCGAGTATGCAAGTACTTGCCAATGAAACGTTTTATTGTTTATTTTTTCATGACCGCTGGCTGTAATGAGAACTAATTTTCATATGAATCCGAGTACCATGAAAGTTGCAGTTAAATAGAGCAAGTTTTTCTGCCATTTCTATGCTCCCTCCGTTCTTCCTAAGAATATACTTCCGGTATATACGTACGTACATGGTATACGCACACTTCCGGGCCGTTTCGAGGTAAAAATAAAGAAGCACCACCGGGCGTGCCACACCTATTCTACCGTACCTTCAAACATTTTTTTCATCCCTTGTCGTCTCTTTTTATTCGCATTTCCGCTGCCGTGCAATCCCACATATTACTCTGCCGTTGAACGCGTGTTTTAACAACGCGTTCGGAGTCGTTGCCTTTCGCTTCTGCTCGTTTTCCTTCGTTCCTCCCCAGCTTTCTCTTTCAATGGATTCTTTGCACATTCTTGCATCGATACACTCTGTCCCTCGATGCTTTTTCCATTCTACCGGTTATTTTCATTCGAGAAAAGTCTATTTGTCTTTCCAAAATTTCGTGATAAATCGTCGCCACAGTTTCAACGTAATTCTCATTGTGGAATTCGAATCTCGAGATTTCGACTCTATCCGTAATTACTTTAATCGCAATAGTATTTTCGAGACCACTCGGCTGAACGTGGCCACTTCCGATGATCCACCTCGATGCGACAATACGCGAACCGACAAACGTGGTAAAGAGAGACTCGTTGCTTTCGAGGAATTTGCATTTCTCTTCGCTCTATTGTTCGTTAAAAGTCATTCAATAGCCATTCAGTTAACTAAATCGCCGGCGTATGTAACGTTGTCCGATTGCTGGTAAAAAAGCTCCAGCTTGTCGCATGTTATTTTATTATGGTCGTTGAATGGCGCTTGATTGATCGCTCCGTGTTTGCTGTATGCGAGTTCTTTTCGAGAGCTGACTGGCATGCGTGTAGCGACTCGTCTCCTCGAATCGATCGAATTTCACGCGTTCCGGTGCTCCGCTTTTTTTCACCTAGAACTAATTAATCGTCGTCGCTATGCCGCGTCGAGCAAATCGCTCTCCCCCTTTTGGTTCTTCTCCTACGAAAGAAACGCAAATTTTATCTAACTTTGCTGCAAGTTAGTCGCAAACTGCCACCGAAAATCAGCCAAGTAACGTTCGTTTCGGAACGAACTTTGACGGTCTTAACGATCTTCGAACGATTTGAAATCGATTTCAAAAAATCGATCTGCGTCGCTAATTTAAAGCAAGTATCGTTGCGTTTCGGCTTGTTTAGCGTCGACGTTAATTAGAAAGGCAACGAAGGAAATCGAGCGTAGAAGATACTCGTTTCGAATTTGTAAAATAACAAAGGGTAAATATGATAAGAGCGGAAGTTTAATTGGAAGCATTTTGCGCGACGGTAAGATCGCGTGCTCGTTGAATAATTTTGTCGGCGAGGAGAAATAGAAGGTCCTGCATAACGAGTGATAAGGGCGAGCAGAGTGCCAGGTCTTTATTATCGGCATTGGTGGCTGGTTTATTTGCAGTTTCCAGTGAAGAGAAACGGACGTGGCGTCGAATCCTAGGGACGAAGGTTGGGATGGCGCGATAGCACAGCGTGCTTTCGTAGAATGGGCAAAGCTCTCCTCGGTAGGTGGATAACAAATGGACCGAGGTAAAGGTAAGGTAACGTTAACGCTAACCAGGTTGCAGCAGTTTCGTCGTTTCTATGTCGTGCACGGAGTCCAAACAGATCGAAAGAACGTTTTTCCGTTGAAAGATTCGATCCTCGGTCGTACAGTTTATAAGCTTGTAACAATCGGCATCGAGGGATTCAAAGTTTGCTCGTTTCGTTCGTAATAGCCGCTTCACCGACACCTTGAAACATATCGTCGCTGGGGTTATCGCGTTCAAACAGTTTCTTTATTTTCTTCGGTTGTACGCACGAGATGTCGTGCCGTGTGTGCCAAACTATTCGGCTGTCCTCGAACGATGCAAATATTACAAACTCTGTTCGCGATGGTGCCATCTTCCTCTCTCGGTTACTTACGAAAGAACTACGCGAACGACGAAAATCGATGAAAATTTTCCACCAACCTACTACGAACGAATACCGATCGATCCTCTGCCGAGCTACGCTTTTATTTCTAACTTTTGATTTAATCCTGTTTTCAGTTGGCGTTACAACCTTCCTATCTACTTAATTCCTATATAAGCAGATAAAATTAGTTGACTCGATTTTCGCGATAGATTAATAATCTATTTCGCGATTATCACGGATTTAAATGGTCATTTTATATGGAAGATAACCAAATAAATTGTTACTTTGCATTTTAATTAATATTGTTGAATATTTGTCGAATTCATTTGTCACTTGTTATTTGTCATTTACCATTTGTCATTTGTAATTTGTCATCTACCATTTGTCATTTGTCGAATATTTGAACATTGAAAATTGGAACACCTTTTTACTAATTTCCGATAATATCGACATTAACGACTCGCTCGTTTCCTCAACTTCACGCCACGCGATTAATTTCTTTGTTATCCTATTCTTATACTCATTATCTTCTAAAGTATATATTTTCGTTGTATCGACGAAACTTTTGAATAGACGAATACGCGTTTCGTTGAAAGTTTTCCAATACTAAAGAAAAACAAAGCTCGCGATTAGCGAGGGAAGCTATGTACGCAAATTAGTTAACTGTCACTAATGCTGTGACAAATTATGCATTTAAGTAGAAGGAAACACGAGCTCGTGGAAAAACTTTGCGACGAAATTGCGATTAAAATCGTTCAGGTGCGTACACGCTTAGTAGAATCAAAGAGTCAGTCCTTGATCAATTTTTATTTATTATTATTATTATAATTATTTATGTTTGTACGGTACTTTGTCTCGACGTTGAATGTAAAAATGTAAACGGTTGTTGTTCGCGACGAAGGAAGACTCTATGCAAACCACGTAAGCATCTACCAGTTTGAACGAAACGCGACCAACAAATGCAACAACGATAGTGTTAAAAACGTTTTAGCTGTTGCATTTATCGTATTGGAGACGTTCGTAAAACTAGTATAGCGTAGAAGCAAACGACAAAATAAACGGAAGAAACGTCGATACGTTCTTTGAATCTTTTGTATCGTAAAGGTATTATTCGATTTTTGTTACTCGTTGGTGATTTTTTAAATTTTACACATGCGAAATATCTCTATAGAATAATCCTGATATAAAGCCACGTGTGATCTCAATTTATTTTCGAATTGCAACAATAGCAGTGAAAGCGACGCGGTTCACGAACGTAAAACTACACGTTTTTGTTTTTACAAAACAGCATCTTAAGATTTCAATAGAATCTCTGTAGGCGAAATTTTGTAATTTTGCCACATCGTTACGGCGACATTAAAAAAGGAAACGATACGTAAATTTGAATAAAATGTATTTTGTCACTAAAAGTCGAACAAAAATTATTGCGTTAAGGAAAAAATGAGGACAAACCAAGCGATTATCATATGTCAATTTGTCAAACTACGATAATGACAGGGCCTGCACACGCTGGAAAATCGATTTTATATCAATGTCATCTATTCCCCTGTTGACGTAAAAGTAGGATCGCGATCTTGAAATTGAAATGACCGCGGTAGTAGAAGCGTGTGAAAGGAAAAAGAATCGAGTCGGACTAACGAGGAATCGGTGATGTCGAATAGTGAAAAAGATTCGTGGGCGGAACTGTACGTTATCGCCGTTTCACACATCGACACATTCGTCTTTCGTTCTTGTCCTATTTCTATTTTTTCGGAAACTACAATTCCAAATAGAGTGTCGCGACTTGTATGATTGCACCGCGCGTTTCTCTCGAATGAACATTTATTTAACGCGTTATACGACATAAAAATGAGCGGTCCTGTTGGTTCCGATTGGTGAGATCTTTGACTCGCTCGAGGACAATTGTCGTTAATTCTGCTTTGTGAACCAAGGAACATGGTGGTCTGTGCGTTATCGAAGGAAAAAAAATCTCGTCACCGACTCGTCGGAGGTCGTTTGTACGCCGAGCACGTGCTTCTCCTTCTAGAAACGAAAGTAAGTTTCGCGGATTCGAAGTAGTCCAATTCATAAAAATTTATGAGGAAAATGAATTGTCCGACAATCTCATTTCGAAATTCTGTAACGGATATTTATGAGAATCTTGGCCGGTTACCTCTAATAACTATAATCTTAGTTGTCATAGTTTCCGTCTTCGATAAATGTGTCACAAGGTCGAATACACGACGATGTTTAAAATCCGTTTGCGTAAAGAAAGTGAAAATAAATCTTTTAATGTTCTCAACTTTAGTTTGATGTGCTATTACTTTGAGACTTTAAGACGCCACTCCTGACTTACTTCGCATATCTATGTATGTAGGTAATAAATCGATCATAAATTTCAAAGTTAACGAAAGCGTCGCGCAAGACGATTGCCTAGTATTTAAGAACATACATATGGTAATTGTCGAAATGGTAATTGTATGTAAGTGCGAAATTCAGATCGCGCGACTACGAACGATTAATCGAAAGATAGAAATTGTTCACTGGTTTTATAGCTTCTTTTCTTTCTAAAAATCTCTGACGTATCTTAAAAAATGATACTACAAATGTTGCACAATTACATATATCTAGCCACTGCTGCGCTCTTTTATACTTTCTGCGGTCATAAAACGGCTTCTATTGCATTTTTATCTATTTGGCATTCTATTTCTCTTCTAGTTACCTTTCAACCTCATTCGTTCATTAACGATAGTTTTTCGCGCATTTTGTTTTCGTCCATCTAGATTAAGTTATAATATATTAAAAATAAAGGTAAAAGACAAAGTTGTAATATCTACATGAAAGTTGGTATAACGATACCGCAACGTATGTAAGTATATCGTACGAGTATCTCGCGACATGCGATTGGTCGTGGCAGTAATTTTTTATCGCAGCATTCACCTTTGCTTTATTCTTTATATCCATTTGTTATCGGTGAAAAATATAACCGAGAACCCGTGAATTTTAACGCTATGCCTGACATTTTCGGTTTCAATTAGATTGGGCAAAGATAAAAAAGAATAGATTGAAAAAATAAATCATTGTTTCCTCGAAACTAATCAAATTCATCAATGATGTAGAGAATTGCAAGAAAGATTTGCGATTCGTATTAAATTATTCGTGAAAGATTTGTCAAAGGAATAGTTCGCGGGAGGTGATCGCGAACATTTTTGCTCGAAACGAGACCGCAGCTACTACGCTAATTCTTGCGAATAGCGTTTGTGTCCATAGTTTCGATGCCTTTGTTTCGCTGGCGAAACGAAACAGCTTTCAGCGACATCTAATACAGCTGAATAGACTATTCAACGATTTTTACAATCTCCAGACTGGTGACAAAAGCGACAAAGTCGGGCCGGCGAAGATCTATGTCACCTCTAACGCATCACTGCGGTCTCTTCCCGTGAAATATTCATGCAGCTAGCCAAGAAGGTTCAACATTTGGTCACCGACAAAACTGTCCTTACGTTTCCGTATAAATACAAATTTATCCGCCAGAAATGTGCTCTGTTCGGCCTTAGGTGTATTCATCGAGCGCACAGTAGAGTCGCTAATATCCAAATCATGTAGGGAATAAGACACCGATCAAAAATTATCTATCGCTATCGGTGTATTTAGCAAACTATCGTTAGAAATTCTTGTTATTCGATTAGAACTAGCGTACAACGATGCTTTCGCGTTATACCGAGCTAGATATTACGGTATGCTTAGTAGTAGTAATATAGTAGCGCGTAATGTTCGTTAACGTGTCGTATAGCCAGCTTTTCAACGTGTTTTTAGCTGCCATTAGCGAAAGCATCTCTGCGAAGCTTCCGCGGAATTCACGTCGAGACAGCAGCAGGAGAATTCGCCGTGTTTTACATTGCTTCTTATTGCACGATGAATGTATTTTCAGGTAACATCGATTCTAATATTTCATGTTTTCACGGAGATTGTTTATAGTGGGGATATTGAGTAAAAGTGACAGGAATCGATCGAATCATTTCATTTTTCATTTATTTCAGAAAAAACTGGGCTTTCCGAGCAAATTTTATATTGAAATATTCAACAGATATTCCAATAAAACAAAAACTTATATAAAGTTTGGCAACGATCAATCTGATTGTGCGAGATACGCTACTTTCCATGTGAATCGCTTACCCATGCATCGGTAGGTTTTGCTAAAACAAATTAGCGAGATCCACTAAAAAAAAACTGGTAACTTATGAAATATCGACGTAATAAGATATATCATATATGTATTTAGGTACTTTCCGATGAAACACGGTTCCTTTTTCCACGGTAACGACAATTTCCACGAAATACTAATGCAGGTTCTTTGAAATTCATCTAGAAACTGAAGCTTTCTGCTTTACGTAATTGTTCGAAATTAATAGGAGAAGCTTTTTATTCGAAGTTCTATACAGATTTTAGACAAAGGTTTAAAAAGAGGCGAGCATCTGAGTGCTTCGGATTTAGTACCCTTGTTCTTCTTCTTGTCCCCAAAGTAAAGAGCAAACGAAAATTGATTGATGTTTAATTAGTAACAAGTGTACAAATATATGTATAGTCGACTTACAGATTTAACCGGAGTAACGTACTCTCATAAATTTCCTTCGTTTTTAGATGGAAGAGTTCCTTGATCTTGCAAGTCGAGGAGGACGAGCTTTATTCTTGAAGGGGGTGATATATTGGCTTCTGATATCAGAGCTGACTGTCTGCAGAGACACGATTCGCTTCCAGAAAGTTCGAAGATGGCTAGACATAAATATTCAAAATTTTCGGAGCGCATCGTCGTCGTAAATCTACCACTTATTCCGAGTTTGTTGGTATTTAGGTTTCATTATCTATTCTCGTCTCGCGAACAATCGTCCGTTATTTTATAGCGTTTGATCAATTTTCGCGTTGTTTTCATTTTGCTTTTAAAAAGGAACTACTTGAGATTTTGCGTTCATTTTTTATGAAAACATTGTTTTTCAAATATTTTTTATCAAAAAGATTTTAATACTATTTGAAGCATTTTTATAGTATACGATAAAATTAAATGCATATATCGGTAGGTAGTACGGTATCGTTTATCGCGATCGATTAAATATGTACGTATGGTCGTTTTATTCGAATTAGGATAATCAAAAAGCGATTGGTGGAAAGTTCGATGAACGAAATCTATCACGCGTGAAACAATGGTCGACAAATGAGATGGTGAAGGCAATTGTCCGAATCCTGATGGTTTGTGCATCGTGCAACCATTGTCGGTCCTTCTTCTCTTTCCCGTTAGTCTCTTTCTCTATTTACTCGGTTCTACGTGATCTCTACAACACAAACTGCATGGAATGCAGAAACCAGCTAGAAAATACCCATCGTCGCGTCATTCGACGCTTCGACGAAGCACCAAAACATTTCCCTGCCGCACTTCTCTGTTCGCCAATGGGATTTCCGATTGACAGTTTTGAATCTGTTGCACCAAATTTCCAACGGTCGAGATTTTTTAGTTCCTTCGTCGTCTTGCTCCAGCCTTTACCGTATGAACGATATGAGCGTCTTTCGGCACCTCAGGCTTTCTGCTCTTTTACTCGTTACGTATTATCTCTCTCGTTAAATATCATACGTGTAATGCTCGCTTTCTGCTTACAAGCGCACGCTGAGTTTTACGAAAATTCTAAAAATCTTTCTCAGCTTATTTTGTGTAACTGCACCTTAAAATTACGTCGACGGCATACACGAACGAAATGACGAAATAAAATTGAAATTTTACCTTCTTCAAAATGAAAAATACCAACGATAGCAACAAAGGTATAGGTGCCTTAAATTTTAGGTCGCATAAGAAAAAAGCAAGGAAGAGAGTGAAAGAGAGAGAAAGAGAGGAAGAGAGAGAGAGAGAGAATAAGGTTTTGCCCGCAGCGCGGCGAAGCGAGTTTTGAACTTGGCTACAGGGTTACAGTTATTTCCTCTACCCACGGCAAACGACGTCGTACAACAAAGCATTTACTGGGCGAAGCAGCAGTATCGTAAATACGATACCAAGTTGAACAGGCGTTCGAATTCCAAGCAATTCTCTTTGACATTCTCCCTGCACAGCTTTTACGGTCACCTGATCGCAATCTCATCAAAATTGGGTCATACAATGCTCTAGTTGCGCCATTCGAATCACCATTGTTCACCGTTCTTTGATGCTATATTTTAATCATTGACTTCTTTTCATTTAATTTCAATATGCCGCTCGTTGAAACGGAATCAACGAAAATTAAAAAGAAGCATCGCCGAATACTGTATTAAGAAAATTTTATATCGTATTTTAAAATCTTACGTCAATATTGTCTACTCTAGTGTAATCCACTGCTCATCGAACTTTAAATATGTAGATAATGTATGTACATATATACATATATACATATGCACATGTAGTATCGTAGTATAATGATGATTTATTTACGATGAATGGATTGTTCAGATGTTGATTTATCGCAATAATCTATTATGGTCTAGACAACGCAATAGTTAACTTGTAATTCTCGTCACAATAGATCCAACGCTCTCTCTCTCTCTCTCTCTCTCTCTCTCTCACGCGAACCACACTCTCACGACACGCTGGCAACACTCTCACTTCTTGATTTGCACTCTCCGACTCCTCAATATGGTACTGCCCACCCTTCGATCTTTTTTGTTTTCTCTCGGAGACAACCCCCCACTACATTCGAGTTACGCCACCGTTCGCGCCTATGATCGCGTACGCACCTTCCTTGTGTATGTGAAAAAACGGACCGAAGGCGAATCGATGTTCTGCAACTATACGCTGGTCGCTACATTGTGTGCATTTCGTCGCTACATTCTGTTTGCGGCACTGCATTGTACTATCCCGGGAAATTCGAACTTAAATATACGATGGATCAAGCGTATGCTCCCCCCCCCCTTTTTTTTTGATATTACATACATGTACTCGATCTTGCAATTATTTCGACAAACGATATAACTAAATTATATTAATGCTCATTTTTTAATTTCATCGAAAAAATTTGTTCTTTCTTTACTTTTATATTACT